ATACGGTGCCCTGTCGTTGAGCAAGGAATCTCCATTTTTACGACCGCGCTCTTTGATTCGCCGAGGCCGGGAAGCGATAAAGGGAATGAAAGACGAACTACAAGTGGATGGAACACAGAGAAATGTAGCAGAAAAAGAGATAGGAGCGGTGGGAAAGGACGAAATGTTGGGAGAAGAAGAAGGGACCGAAAGCGGGGAAAAGCGGAAAGAGACGCTAAGCCGTTCTTCGACGTTCCTCCTATAAATTGAACAACTCCCCGACTCTTTTCGACGTACGTACGCAACGAAATTCTCGCGGAATTATTTAAATCGTCGCCGAAGCCTCCTTAATATTGAAATACGACTGTTGCGCCGCGCGAGACATCGTAACGAGCTGAATAGACTGTCGCCTGAGCTCGTTGAACGATTCTTTTCTCTGCTTCTTCCTGCAGGAAAGTAGCATTTCGTTGAGAATTCGCGTGTATCGAACGAGACGAAACCAGTTGGTTTTCTTTTATTTTCACTCTCGGTAATGACTATAGCGGACACATTGTTCCGATTCAACGCAGTGCAGCGCGGTGGATAGGAATCAAAGACTGTTATTATCGCGATAGCCGTGGAGATAATTTTCCAATTCACAATTGGCTCGCTTCGGTTCACACGGAACAGAAGGATAGAGGAGAAATTCAGATACTCACGTAATAAGGATACTTGCGCAAGCTTCGTCTCTTTAACGCTGTGACGAGGTTACGTGGAATGAAAGCAGAGGTATGCCGTTTTTCTGCGGCTTCAATCCTTTTCACATCCTTTATGAAACTGTATAAAGTTGCCGGACAGATCAGCCTTCTTTGCGAATGAAATTTCCTTTGACGTTCCCGCGGAATAATTTCTTTCTAACGTGATAAAGTCACCCTGTTACGTATAAACTGAGACGACCGGCAGAAACGGTACAGGATATTCCTTTGATTCTTACGAAATTGTTTCTACCATTCGATTTTTTAATCACGTTTTGTCTATGTAAACATTCACCTTTGGAAAGTTGCTTTGACGGTCGTAGTTCAACCTCGTTTCGAGTACAGAATCCAAATCTTCAAGCCATCGCGACAGAACTTTGCTAATTGTAAGTTTCGTCAAAGTGTGCAACACAAGGGACTTCTCAGAATACTTCGGTCACACATTTCACAAGCTCCTCTGTATCTCGTCTACGGTTCACCAAGGAAACGCAGTCACCGTTCGAAAGGACGTTAAATTGGTCAGCAGAGGTCGATGATTGGCCCTCGTAAACTGCCAACTCGCGACGAAACAGTTCCTTGTCCCAGGAAACATCGCCGCTGACGAAAAGTATTTGATCTTCTTTGTCGTGTCCGTCGTCGTAAATTAACAGCAGCCTCTTTTACGACTTAGCCGCGTTGCGATTTAACTCCTGGCTGCATTCTATAACTTTGTGCCCAACTACCCTTAGACGACACCTATAAATCTCTCCGTTGTTTTATCGTCCCGTCGACGGTCTCGATTTAAACCAGAAACGCGGTTTCACCCTGTCCTCGTCATAACAATGGTCGAGGAGATGGACGTATTTAAAGCAAGCAAGAGGATTGTAGTAAGATATCGTTGAAGTTGGTCCGTGACTTTTACGCAACGAGAAGGAACGTTTCTTAGAGACGCTGTTTCCAATTCCGCTTTTGTGCAACGGGAAAATCGCAACGTGAGCGGTTATTTTAGAAGTGTTGTTTCAACTTGCCAGTTGATTTTCACGGTGATTATGGGAAATTGGTAAAAATTGTTCGAGATTCATGTTTAGTGACAAATTGTAAGGTGTTTTTGAGACTGCAAATTTGCAGTGGTGCAAATGTGAATACAAAAGTGGTTAAAAATAAAGGAAACGTGCACATTTGTAGGAATTTTAATCTTGATTTAGTGTTCCTGTTACAGAGCTCGAAATACCCCGTATATTACCTGTACACTTTCACGGTATTTTCTATCTCGCATCGCTTGCTGATACTATTTCGAACCGGAGCGATGCCGAATTAGCGGTACTTGAAGCGTTAAGAATTACAATCGCACCTCGGAAGAGTTACGTTCCCTCTTGGCAGTACCTTTTATTTCAATTCAAGTGTCGTAAAACTATGAATTACACCGTGTCTGGCTCGACCGAAAAACACGTTCAGCAGTCGTTATTCAGGATTAAACGAAGCTTCGAGACACGGGTGAAATTCGTAAAAAGGAGCGCAATAAAACTTCGACAGCGAGGCGGGCTCATAACGCTCGTGACTCGGGAACGAAATACGATTAGCCCGAGGAATTCTTACGGGCGCGTGAGGTAAACGACGCTGTTAAAGCACGGCTGAGAACCGTTTTTCCGGGGGAGGGACGGAAGTTTGCGCCGGGTGAAAAGAAAATACAACCCAGTTTCGAGTCGTTCAAGGTTCCTGATTGTTGCCAAGTTTGGCGGTGTGCGGTAGCGCTTCTTCGAAATCACTTAGACCCGCAGGCCACGTTTCCACGCTCGCTTAATTTTTCCGCGGCGCGTTTTCCAGCCATCCATCTTCCCTAATGTTTCACGAGTCGCGCGGTCCCGCGGCAAGAAACCACCGGCGATGCTAATAAATTATCGTATTGGAAACGGAGTGAAACTTGCTGGTGCACGCGCGCGATTCATCTCGCTCTCTACCTCTCTAATGACTGATGCGTCGATCAACCTCGTTTGACTCTAATTAACGCCTCGCTACAGCTTTCGTCACGGCCTGTCACGCGTTACGGACTTCTGATTATAATTAATCGATGCCCGCGACGGGGTTGACTACTGAACGAGTGTGGAACTACTTCAAACAGACCGAAGCGACGCTCCCTGTGGCTCGAGTTAGTCGGACGGTTGTTGTTTCTTTTGTTGGGAGAAAGTTACATACGCGAAGTGTTACTCTAGGATTTTGACGAACGTTCGCGTGCGGATGAAGAGGTGAAAATTAGACGACTCACGTTTCGCTGTTGGCGGAGATGAGGAGCAGAGTTCTTCAGTGAGAGCTTTAGGACGTTTTTTATTGTGGTGAAATATACTCTAATTTGAGAAGGTTCGACTTCTGTATTTTAATATAAAGTTCGAGGTATGGTAATAATATGTGAGAAACGGTATCTCTTTAGAGTCACTCTTTTTTCAAAATTCCCAATGGAATTGGCATATTATGGCTAACAGTTCATTTTTGTAATATCGTATCTATAATCTGCAGGAATGAAACTCGTTATTGTAAGGGATTAAACAGTGCAAAGTCTTCCCCCACAATTTTTTTCTAACTTCACTTAGAACAGAGCTATAAGCAATCGATATGAGGGATTAAACAGTGCAAAATCATTCTCCACAACTTTTTCCGACTTCACTCAGAACAGAGCTATAGCAAATCTCTAGAATCACCCTGTGTTTCTCAGTAACGGACTCTAATTCCAAAAAACGAAGACATCGCCCAAATTTAACAGAGCAAACTCCACTCTTGATCACCTCGAACGGTGCACAAAAGTTCACAAAACAAGTCCAAGCTATAGAGCTACCTAACCTAACATCAACCGCACGTCTGACTTAAGAGGTCTCGTAAAACCGTGTCGCCAGCACGCCAAGAATTAAAAACCAGTCAATCTTCCGTTTAACCCTCGCTTTACGACCTGTCCCCGATCACCAAGAGCTTCTGTATCCTATCAGAAATTACACTCTCCCCACGTTTTCACACCTCCCAGCGTCCATTCGCCGCTCTCGGCTAAAAGGTCCGACAGCGGCGGAAAAGGGCGGAGAAGATGGACGCTCGGTGGGATGAAGTTCGCGCCGCGAGTTCGACACGTAAATTTATTCAAGCGTAACCGATCTGGCAGACGTTCAAGACGGACGCTCCAGCCAGTCTGAGAAGTCCGGCGCTGTTTTACGATCAAAGTTCGGAACGATACTTGCACCAGTGGGGGGACTCTTTCGCCCCTGTTCCGCGGTCGTCGCCTCCTTTGTGTCGTTTCTTCGTGCTGCTGCTGGCCTTCTTCCCCGTGACACGCTCCAATGATTCCCGAGTACGTTTCCGTCGTTCCTGCACCGAGCACATAGAATTTCCATCCGGATAGCCCTGACGCGACCTCACGAATCAGCCGGGGCTGGACGAACCAGCGTTTCCGGGTGGCCCGGGAATTTTTACCACGAGTTTACGATCCTCGCTTAACGGAAATCGAATCTGACCAATCCTTGATGGATCTGGTTTTATTTACCCTCGACTTAGGAATCGCCCTGGTTGAGTAGCCTTTGTAGATGGAACGAGCAGTTTCTTTCTGCTGTTTCGAGTTTTAACCTGATTTGCGTTCGCTTCGAACGATCGAGGTTTGGTTCGCAAAGCTTTCGGCGAGAGGGATGTCAGGGCTGTTACTTGAAGGAGGAAACCTATTGTGTGAGAAATCTTTGTGACACTGCAGCATCGGGTTTTTGGAAAATCTTACGAATCTAACCGCAAAATATTTAGAAGAAAATGCAATTTTGAAAATAATATCGAATATTTATTGTAAGTATTCGCTACATTTGAATCTGAATATTGAAACATTTTGCGAGAGAGATCTCGGAGTTGCTACTTGAAGAAGGAAATCTTTGTGACATTGTAGCAGCAGGTTTTAATCTAAAGAACTTAACCATGAAATTTTTTGCGAAAAATGAAATGAATTTTGAAAATAATATTGAATATCAGTATTTATCGAAATTAAGTAGATTTGAGTGCAAGTTTGTTTTTTCGAAATTTTTATTTTCACAGGGACAATTAAAAGGGAGAAGTTTTTAATCGTCTAGCATTGTGTACTACCTAGTAATTGACATTTTGTCGCTTAAATGTTTCGTTCCTAATGGTGTCGATATTTCCATGAATTAGAAAGTGTTCCTATGGAATTTCAACGGCGTTAGCGCCGATTAATTAATACCTTCGGTTAACGAGTCGGTCTCGAGGACCGAATAAGAAACATTTTCGACGAGACGAAATTTTAATTGCGCCCGACGGCGATTAAAATAAAATCATATGCCCCGCGCCGAGTGCACTCGCGTCAGCCCAGCGTTTTACTTCTGTTCTTGGGAATTCGCGGCGCGGAAGTGTACCTGTTACCCCTACACTTTCTCTCTTATTGGTCGTTTTAATTCATAGCTGAAGAGTTTAGAAACGGCGTAATTTCTCGCGCTTAGTTTCTCGTACGGTTGACATTCCCGTGTAAATTTTCGTGTAAACGAAACGTCGAACGTGTGAATTTTTTCGAATTTTTCTATTGGATATAACGATTTGAAATTTCAATTCTTGCGATTGTTTCGTGACACGTTGCATCGGTAATTTCGATCGTAATCGACGAATGGCTCAGCTACTTCTCAATATTAACCGACAATTTTTTTCTTTTTTTGTTGTAGAGTGACAACGGGCTAGTGGACACAGATCCAGGTCGAGTTAACAGCATGACAGCCATCAACTCGGTATGTAACTTATGGAATTTAACAGACACTACTGTATGTGGTTTAGTAAGTTTATTGTTCTATGATCGTTGCGATTTTAATCTTCTAACATAGGGTCTAACGTAGGACTTCTTAAGTTGAATTGAGGTTTAACATACTACTGTACGTAGCAGTCAATTTCTGTCGTAAGAGAATACAGTCTTTTATGGACTTACGCAAGTTTAATGCAGTTGAATAATGATTTTTACCGAATTTTTTAATTGCAATTAATAGAACACTTCTGGTAAAAAGTTTCTGACTGAACACTGTAACGTATGAGTAAGTATACTATTTTAATCAAATCGTTATGTAAAAACATTGCACGAAACAGTATTTTCTATCTCTACCATAAATTATTTCTAATTAATTTCTACGTTACTGAGTCTGATCAAAAACTTTGTATCAAGGGTTGTACTACTTCTTTCCTTCTATTTAGACGTATGCTAAATCATATGCACACTAAATTTCTAGTCTTTAACTCTAGTATGGTCTTCGGGTCCTTTTCGACCCATCGCTTCTAATTTTTTCAAATACTTTTTCTGTTATCAAGTGTATCTTCCCTTAACATTACATTAAAACTTCATTGTCTTGGGTCTTTTTTGACCCAGAGACCTTAAGTGTATTCGAAACTCCTTAGACATAAAAAAAAAAAAAATGGAGGTATTCTAAAATCACAATTTTCCTTACCCCAACTTACCGCACGAAAGCTCTCAAAAACACAGCGACGTGGACATCTAAATTCCGAAATATACGTCACATGCAACCCCGTGCGTTCAACAGGGAAATTCGTCGCAAACGATAAGTCGTCAGAAGTGACAAACTGTTGATCAGGTGGATACGTTAAATCGAGTTTCTTCTCGGTCGACTCTGAAGTCGCTGGTTTCGCGCGATCCACGAGTTTCTTGAACACGAGTGCCTGCATCTGACGTGGTCTGCGTGCCTACATTGTGTGTGCCCCTATGCATAGAAATTCCCCGCTCGCAATATGGAAATGAGGAACGCCGGTTTCCCAGGTGGCGCTTCCCGTGGAAATCGTCCGTCGAAAGGCTCACACCGCGATCCTTTTTCCCACCCGAGGATCCTGGAATTCGTGTCCTATCGGATCGACGGGAATTCCTGTGGATCTTTCGATGACCGATGTTCCTCCCTTTCATTCTCCCTTAGAATCTTCCTCTTCGTTTGCCACCGTTTCACGGAATTCCGTGCACCAGCAGCTTTCTCTGTAGTTGGCCGGTGTCCTCGGTTCTTTTGTTGTTCCTTGAAATTGGTGACATCGTTTGTTCGCCGAGCTTCTTGAGGTTTTTCATCCTTTAGCTGTGAAGAGTGTCTTGTAGGTTTTCGTTTGCAGTTGGAAATACTGAATCTGTTAGTTTTTTGTTGGAAGAGCGCAGCAGAGATGGGAAATTAGGAAGATTTTCTTGGGGCAAGAATTTGATGCCCAACAATTTGGGATCATATGTCACTTTTTGCTATTTAATTAGTGTGTAACTGGAGTTCAAGAATTTTATTGTTAATTTAATATTGGTGAATAAATATTTTTCACCGAGTACTATGAACTCAAATTTAGTTTAAAATTTGGAAAAAATTCGGTTCGCGTAAATTTCATATATTTGCAGCACAGTGTGATAAATATTGAGCGAAAAATTTTTCGAAACGTTGCATTTACCTAATTCTCGCGTCAACAGAGTCCAAGAATACCTCAGAATGCAAAAATACACAGGTACCACGTTTCCCCCGGATTTCTCACTTCCATTATACAGCTTCTTAACTATGCATTTATAAACCCGCGTTCGTACGACACTTTCGTTGTATTTTTAGTAGCAGAACGCATTCGCGAAGTTCGTAGAAACAGCTGTGGAGCAGCTTGTACGATAAATTCGGATGTATACGACACAGATCTTAGTAAATCGTTGCAAATACGATGGAAAAACGACGAATCGTACTAGAAAATGCATTATGTACACGTAGACTCCCAAGCACGATTAACTTACCAACACTCGCGCGACAGATCGTATCGTTCTTTTTTCGAAGAGTGTTGCAGCTACAATATAGACGGTTGAGAATGTTTTCAAAGCCGATGTTTTCGCGGAAAATGCAGGAAATGAAATTTGACAAGTTGCATCGGGGCGAGCCTTACGAGGCCGCGGTGTTATTTAGCAGGCGACGCGTGCATTTCAAGAGCGCCGTAAGTTACCAAGTGAAATACGCGGCTAAATTCCGTTTTAATAGTTGAAACGCTAGTATGTAGCGTGTACCGGTGCGTTTCGAAGCCGTATTTTACTCGGCGACTCGTACACAAGCCGTAAGTTCGCAGCCGCGTTTCCACCGTGTGCCAACGCGTTCCTCTTTTTAACTTCACGCTCCGAGACGTCGTTCCCGGAAGTGATTCGCCAATTTTCTCTGTTCCCTTTTTCCTTTCAAACGTTTAAGTAAAATTCTGTAACATTTCACTTCGTTGTTGTTTCTCCCCCTATTTGTGTGCCAATTCGTAGTTTTGTTTCGAGTCGCTCTAGAGGGAAATCGAGAAAAATACCGGAAATTTTGTCGTTTAGCGAATAGTATGGCGGGATATAATCGTCGAATTTCTACAGTTCATCAGATTTCGACGCGATTGGTAATTGCTCTCGCGTGTCGTCTCTCGCTGAAAGCGTTAAAAGCGATTAAATTGCATCCGAATGCGATCGCGAAGCGTTTCCGTATTTTCGTATTGTCCCCCGAAATCGATGCAACGCTCAGCGGTTTTTTTCCTTTCGTTACTCCGCGCGCAACCGTGTGTCCCGGGCTCGATAAAAAATATTTCCTCTGACAGAGCGGCGATGCACGATTAACGCGCGATTTAACGCGCGCAACCCAGTTTCACGAGTGCGTGAAAATAACTGGATACAACTACCCTAGCTGGTCGCGCGCGCGGGGTGTGTGTGCAACTATTTTTGAAAAGGCCATGGAGTAAACAGTTTGTTCAATTGCTCTTAGAATTACTCGGGGAAAATCGAGCATCAACGGATACATCGGGAGTTTCTAGATTAATGGCGTATCGATAAATTTAAATGGCGGCGCGCTCGCTAGGGGTTGAGGTGGCCATAGTAATCGTACCTGGGCGAAATCGCTGCTTTCAGACTCTATAGAAGTTACGATTCGCCTGATAAAAGTACCGTAAACCATGCGATTCTGACTTTATCGCTTCGAATTTCTGTTTTTTCTTTTTCCTTTTTGTATCTTTTCTCGATATTTTGCTTTTGTGCAATTCCTCGACGCTTTGGAAAATATTTTAAGGTCCTCTCGGTGCTTTATGGCTTACCCTATCGCTGCGAAAGGTGTTTATATAGAATTTATTAATTTATTTTCGCGCTTTGTAACAGTAAACAGTTGATTTTCAATTATTCTTATCTCTGTTTTTATGTCAGCGTTAAATACTATAATTTTATACTCAGGAAGCACTTTTTGTCACAAGTGTACAGTAGTGAAAGGGGTTAAAGAATTTCGTTGCGAATTGTTCTCGAAATTAATTTTTAATAGATTTTTTTTAAAGATGGTTATTGTATTTTCATGGGTTGCCTACAATTTTATAATACAAAGTTTAGTTACTCAGCGCAGTAGGATAACCAAATTGCTGTAGAATATATGAAGCCTGAACGACGGTTATGTATTTCTTGATCTGCTTCCAAGTATCTCGTATTACGGATGCTCGATATTCGCACAAACTTGCGGGAAATTAAACGATGTTTAGCTTCACACCACAAACAGTCGAGATTCTACAAAAAAAAAAAAAAATCTAAAACGACAAATATTTTGTCACGAATGATTTTTCAGGCAGCAATGAAACTCAGTTTTTTTTTCTAATCTAATCTAATTGCACGAATTTTTCAACAAAGAAATTCCTCTCTCTCGAACTTTCAAAACTCGCCTAAACTCACTTGAGCGACCCATTTTTCCAATGATTAAAAATCCGACACTTCGTCGTAACAAAAATTTTTCTACCACGTTAAAAGAAAAGATTAAGTTTCTCCTCACTTTTCTGTCAATCCCTATCGCGTGTCACAACCTAACAAAGATGCGTTCGATATTGATCGAAGACGGTGTTTTTACGCAACGCTCGAAAATCGATTCGCAAAGGTGGAGCGTCTCGGCGCGCGAACTCGAAACCGATGACTGTTTTAATGAAATTCTAGCCGAAAGACGGTACTAAAGGACGCCGAGGAGGAAACCAGTTTAAATAAAGACCGCGCATGTGGGTCAGCCGGCGTGGCGTGCATCGTGCATGTGCGTTACGCAAGCTGATTCCGCCGCGAGCATCACTTGCATCGAGCTTTGTTAAGACGCGTCCGCGGTGCACACATGCTGCACCGACCGGTTCGCTCCTAATGGACCTGAAAAACTTGCTGAAATTTATTGCCCGCGTATGCGTCGCCGCCCGAAGAATCGTTGCAATTATGAAATTCCTCCTCATTCTGATTTATCTCACGGATACATCACGAGTCACGAGTGTTCCTTGCGTTATTGCATTTTTTTGAAAGATTCGCGTAGACGTTGAAAAATTTCATTGGCGATTGTATCGAGTTATGTGAATGAAGAGGAAACGATTCGTGTTGGGAGAAATTAGTAGATATAATTAATAGAAATTTTACTTTGTTAATTTGTCTAGAAATTAACATTGGAAATTATTAATATTTAGGTATACAATCGATTCGGAAGCTTTCAATTTTAATTCCAATTCCTATTCGAATAGTGTAAACTTTTCTTTCAGTTTTTCCACCTTGCAATAGTAGCAACAAACGCCCAATTCTCAGTTACGTAGCACGATCTCAAAGTACAGAGATGAAGTAGTGATAAAAAATATAGGTCACAATATGGAAAGACAGTGTTTGAAACTTTCTTATCGAAAGAAACATGGACGTCTCAAGTTTGCACCGCAGACTCTAATTACGCAAAATGAAGGAAATTTAAAGCACACCGCGTCGCTGATGACCTAGTCGATACGACAC